GCTTCAACCGAAATCAAAAATTAAACTTTCGGTTCAGGCATGACAAAAAACATAATTTATTTCTAATTAAGAATTATTATAAATAATATTCTTGTCTAAAACTAAAACTTTTTTCTAGAAACTTTTATTATAAACTAATTGACAACGCATTAAAATCGATAATTTTCTATTATAAAATATGATGATTGATGAATAAGTAAATAAGTATAAGGCAAAATAACACTAACTAAAATAAAAGTGGATAAATTCTGTATCTAAGCGGTACATGGTTATTTAAAATTTGAAGGTTAAAAATATACACATGAAACCATTGGGTAGAGCTCAAATACTGAATAAGGAAAAATAAATTTAACATTAAAAATTATAAGTTTATTTATAAATTCTAAAAACGATTACACAATGAATAAAAATATGGCCTATGTGTGTGGTAGGTATTGTTTTTATTTGTTTTACGAACAATAATTTCGGATCAATGAACCGAATGAAATAGTTTTAGTTAACCCATCAAGTATATTGATAAGAATTCATGTATAGTTTGTACCTTCGTACTTCCACAGGCAATTTTTGGGTTTATCAGTAGTTTTTTTTAAAGCCTAGCTAGGTATAAAAAACTACTGATAACTGTTGAAAATTCGAAAATATTGAAGTCTTCTGAACAAACATAGTGTTATTACTTTTAACCTAAACGTAATTTAAAATTTCAATGGTAAAATTCAATATATGTTTCGAATAACACTAATGTACCAAGTAACACCACTAATAATTAATATCCAATAAGTATTTTATAAATTATTAGACTTAAAGATGAATTGAAAAGAACATTGTAAAATATTTAAATTAAGAGATGCTGGTTATATTAAATTATAGAACGTTGATAGATGACTGTTTTATTTATTTTAAAATAAACTATTCATTTATGGCAAAATTACGAAAAATAATACAACTATTTTCTCATAGTTATTACCCCTTGATCATTAAAGTTTTCTACGATTTGTATGAATATTTTATAGTACAAAGCATGAATAACAATGAACTATTTTATCAACTGAAAGTGGAATTTAGAACAATTTAAATACAATTACATATCGAGTTAAAGTATTTACTGACACATTAAAAAAAAGGTAAAACTATTGTTCCGAACTAGAAATCAAATGTAGGTATAGGTACTGCAAATTCTAAAATTGTTTCATATATTAGTCTTTTACACATAGAACAATATCAGCTTTACATGTTTTATATTTAAGGTAATGTGTTTATTCGTAGAATATAAAAACAGATCGGTCATAATATGTTTTCAAAACTTTTAAGCGCGTAAAATAAATATTTATAATTAGGAACCAATAAATGCATTTTATAAATGATTATAATTTAATTGAAAACACGCTTAGGTACCCTAAGAACACTAAGTGACTATTTTCGAGTATTTATTCTCTTTTATAAATATATTTTTGATGAGTTTAAATAAATAGTTTAATAGAAAATATAGTATATAATTACAAATAATATTGGGGCATTTTTTAAATTTTTAATGTTTATGAAGATCAAATTTAAAAAAAATGTATTCATGAAAGAAAACTTAGTTTATATTTCAAAATTTAAAATAAGAAATACATCAAATAATTAACTATTATATTACATTGTTATTTTATATCTATATTTTATACTATATCCGTTTCTTATAACTCATAGTTCATACCTAAATGAAACACAAATTATTTAGGAAACCAGCCAATAATTGGGATGATGTGTATATTATAGAAAATAATATGGATTCTTATCCATCAACTTTTAGTATCGGTATATAATATTCTTTATGTTTACTCAGTATAAAATTATAATATTAAAAAATATATCCATGTGATTGTGGTCCTGTATTGTTATACTAATAATAATAATATATTTGAATAATTCCAATATAGGTTACTCTTAAAAATTAACTAAAAAATAAATAGGTACCTATAGTGATACAAATGTATCAAACATATTATATTATCTTTTTTTTTTTGTTTGTGTATTGATTTTTTTTTAATTATTCAAAAATTATTATTTACGAGATCCAGTTAAATTATATCATAGATAGCGTAATCATGGGTATCATGATATCATGGGTGCCAAGAATGTTATGGTGTATTGCAAAGGGGGATGTATAAATGCCACTTGTTGTTAAAAAATGTAATTCCTTACCTTTTACAACAATGGTTATCGATTCACATTAATATACAAAAGCTTTTAAAGAATTGAAAGTATTTATAAATAACTTACAATATTATATGTTGCAGTACTATCAGAATTTTCAAAAAGTGGGGTTGGATCAAAACAAACTACCGTTAACGGAACTTGGAAAGAAGTTCATGAACTCATACCAATTGCACACAGTTAATATCTTAAAGATTAACTCATTTTTTAATATAATGTACAAAATATATGGTTATATATATTATAATATAATATACATTGTATTCAGAAATTATGTTGTAATAAATAGGTGGGTGGGGATAAAGATGGTGGTGCTTGGGAGTATATTCTCTTACCAATCAACCCCCACCCCCCCCCAAAAAAAAAAACTAATTCTTGTAGAGGTGAGTGTGTAAATTATTATAATTATTATTTGATGTAAATAGAGTAAAAAAAAAAATTACAGTACAACACTAAATTATTATAATTGTTAATAACAAATAAATAAATAATTATTAATTTTCTTTTGAAATATCGATAAAACGTTAGCATAGTATTTTTAATATGGATTTATAATTCGGTATATTTCTTATCGCATACAAATACTGACAACGCGACATTATAAACACAACAGTTCGACATGAAAATTTAATTTATCAATGTTCTGACTTTTTTTAATTGTTATTGGTTGGAACTTTTTTTCTTAACTTCTTTAGATTTCAAAAAACTGTACAATATATTGTAAAATATCGATCTTTTAGTATTTACTATTTAAATATAATAATATGTTAATAGTTTATTAAATCCCTCCTATAGATCTACAATAAATACTCTCAATATGTGCATGTTAAAAATAAGCATTATAATAAAATAATATATGTATAGGTATTTAATGCACTGTATAATATAAATGTATTAACAATCAATCTTTTTTATCAATAAATATTTTATAGGTAGCCTATATATTTTTGAAGAATAGTTGATATTTTACATGTCTGCTTATAATGATATTGTGTTTTAATAGTAGCTAAATTAAAAAACATACAATTAATAGGTAGATAATACTGTATTGGTTTTGATAATATAATAAAATATCTGTAAAAATAAGTATTTTGTAGTAATTAAAATATAATGATTCTATATTCTTTAAATTTAGATCTTGTATTAGATATTAAATGTTTTTTTATAATTAATACCAATGTTATAATAACTATTGTCGTTTTATAAATTACATTCTAGCCCTTTTACATATTGTATCAAAGGCCCCATATTATTATAAAATATGTACAAATTGTGAATTTTCAAAAATTATAACAATCAATTGTTAAGCTTAAATTGTTAAATATTTTTATTTTTAAATATAGTCGAATTTGAGTGTCCTGCAATTTCAAATACTAATTGAAAATATACTGTTTATATTATGTGGGCCCCCACACGAATATGTTCAGTATCTTCTTGAAGAATAAATAAAAATAAAAATAAAATATCCTTTGCAATTATAGACAATGGTTCCACAATATGTATTTATACGGCAAAACATTTAAAATGCAAAGATTTATTTAATGATTATTTTAGTCGGGTTTCGGCAGCCAAAGCGATAGCATGTGCGCTGTTCCGTAATGTGTTACGTATCTTATCAGTTTACTTTTAATTGCCATGGCTAATGTGGTTTCTCCTATCGTTATAATTAACAAAAACACCGTTCGCAAATCGAAAATGAATGCCACTCCAACAAAAAGAGCCCTCTCATCGTCATCGTCATCACCAAACTCTCCGGTCCACGAAGACAAAAAGAGCAAAGTTTTTGTTTCCCCAAACCGTTTTGAAGTCTTAAGAACGGAAGACGAAGAACTTGATATCGCCAACCTCCCCGTCTCACCATCCAGCGTAACGTTGCCAGTTCAGAATAACCTCAAACTTCCTAACATCGTCCTAAAAAACGTAAGTGACTTTACTACTCTCAATAAGGATCTTACCCGTTTGGTGGGCCCAGAGAGCTTCACCTGCAAAGCTAAAAAATCCAGTTTAATTTTACGGACAAATACACGAGCTCAGTATGTAGCCATTAAATCTTATCTGATCAATGCCGCCTGTGATTTTCACTGTTATCAACCCCGCGCTCTCCAACCGTTCCGCGTTGTATTACGTCACCTCCACCACTCTACCACCACCGAGGACATCATTAATAGCCTAAGAGACCTTGGACACAAAGTTATCAGCATTTCAAACATACTCAATCGTACAAACAAATCGCCACTTCCGTTATTCAATATTTCCCTAGCCCGCAACAGCAACAACAACGACATTTTCAAAATAAACAAATTGTTTAACTCAATTGTGAAATTCGAGCATCCGATAAGGCCACTTGGTCCTCCCCAATGTCACTCTTGTCAAATGTATGGACATACACGCAATTATTGCCACCAACCTCCGCGTTGCGTGAAATGTGGGTTAAGCCACCTCACCGAAGATTGCTCTAAACCACGGGAAGAACCCGTTAAATGCGCCAACTGTAACGGTAACCACACTGCCAACTACAAAGGTTGTCAAATTTTTAAAAATTTACTAAAGCGCACCATTTACAAAGTCGCTTACAAAGCTGACAAAGTTGAAAAACCGAAAAAACACCCCAGCCCACCATCTGCTGTACCTGTTGCACCACAAATCTTCAACGTCCCCAGTTACAACTCAAATCAAAAACCGACATCTTATGCCAAAGCCACAGCCAACTCTTCATCAGTCAATCAACCTCTCCACATCATCAACAAATTTATTGAAGATTTAAAATGTATTTTAAACCCTCTTCTATTGGCTCTTACTTCCCTAATTAACAAAATTACACTTCCCATTTCGTCCACTCCATGACATCCCTCACCCCAAGTTAGAGGGTACCCACACTGGTGGGCCTCCCTCCTCAAGCCATTCATGTTATTATTGTTTCTTTCATTACCTAATTTACTTATTGTATCATAAAAATTACAGATTGTAAATATTCTATTTATCTAATAAAAAAAAAAAAAAAAAAAAAAAAAAAAAAAAAAAAAAAATGATTATTTTAATAGTCACAATATTTGTCAGCGAATACAGTATAAATGTTCAAATTCAAATTTATAGAAAATGTAAGTCTTTAAATTTGACATTTGTACATATAATGATACCTATAGGTTCCATTTCCAATCGCATACAATTTTACAAGAAATATACAAAAAATTCAAATTCAAATCTGTTTTCAGAATTCTTATCGCTTCATTAGATCAATGGGTATGTTTGGCAAAAAACACGTCTAAAATACTATATCGCGCGTGTGTTAGACAAAAATAGAAAATCACGGTGTCGAATCCCCCTAAAATAAATAGTAAGTCTATTGTAATGATAAGGCCGTGAATTTCAATTTTTTCTGAAAATCCCAAAACATTGATTCAAGCACAAAATTAGTTTGATCCATTAAAGATCTTTTTTTTATATTTTATTTAAATATATTCAATCTGTTTACAAAATAAAAACATTAAGTAGGTAATAAGGATAACATAAAAAAAGTATATACAAACATGAATCGCGTGAAGAGGAGACCGTTCATTAACCAGTTAGACCAGTTTCTTTTTAATTGACGGGGAATTGTGGTACCTAATGTAAGAGAGGACATGTTTTGAATTAAGGGGTTTATGTGGGTTGTTAATTTTGAATGGAAACTTTTATAGTGGCTTTTAGCAAGCTCGTTTTCTGTTTGTATTTTTGGTCATTATAGAGGGCTGCATTTGTTATGTGCCGTGGAGCACAGGTGATAAGTCTTAAGGTAATTGACTGGAAGGCTTGAATAGGGCGAATGTTTGAGGGTTTTCGGGGCCCGAAATTTGGATGCCGTAAGACCATACTGGCCTGATGATTACTTTGTATAGGAGTAGTATGTTTTTGAGTCTAAAGTTAGATTTTAGTAGAGGTCTAAGTAGAAGGAGGCGAGAGTTAAGTTGTTTTCGTTTTTGTTTGGTGTGGTTTGACCAGGTTAATATTTTATCCAGAGTGATACTTAGATATTTGGTTGACTGGTGAAGTGGAATTGGTTTGTTATTGAATTTTAGAGGGGGACATTCCCTTTTGTTCAGGGAAAAATTCACTTGAGCGGATTTTTCGTCATTGATTTTAATTTTCCAGTTATTGGCCCAAGATTCTATTTTATTTTATGTAATTGTAGATTTTGAGATGCAATATCAGAAATAATATTTGTCGTCAGCAAATTAGGCGAGAAGAGTTTAGTTTATTGTAGGTATATCAGCTGTGAAGATATTATAAAGTATAGGTGAAAGGTCAATAATACCCTGGGGAACTCCAACTTTAATATCCTGAACCGTTGATTAATTATTTTTTTTACGAACGAAAATCTACCATTTTTCATGATATGATTTGATTTTTAAATAATATGGCTAAGGGAGAAAGTGTTTTAGTTTAAAAAGAAGCCCGTCATACCAAACGCGGTCGAAGGCCTGAAATATATCTAGAAATACCCCGGGACAGTATTGCTTGGTCTCGAGGGAGACTGAGATTTTATCAGTGATTCTATGGATTTGGTGGATCGTGTTGTGTTTGCGAACGGAAACCGAATTGTGATTTTGGTAATATACTATGTCGGTCCTTTAGTGGTGTAATTCTATGTAGAATTAGTTTTTCGAAGAGCTTTGCAAAAGTCGGTAGTAAACTGATTTGGACGATAAGAACTAGAAAGGTGCTTAGGCTTATGAGGTTAAGAGATCATAATGATAACTGAATACTTTCATGTAGGAAGGAAGTAAGACAAACGGAGCTTAAAGATCTTAAAAATGAAACATGTATTTTTCATTTTCTTTTGGGTTTATTATCTTTTTTTATATTTAGAAATTGTTTTGGAAATTTGTTAGACTTTGAGTAGATTTTTCGTAAATCTTCAAGAAATAGATAAAAGTTAAACTTAAGTTATCATAAACTAAAAAAAAATTAAAAAATTGTTATTTTTTTTTTGTTTTGTCATTATTTTATGTATAAATCAGATCAATGTGGCTGTGGCTGCAGTGCTGTACAAGTTCAAACCAGTCTGACTAACGAATTTTCTATTATGTACTATATTGTCTATTAGTGTATTAAGTGGTACTTTTAAAGGCACTTTTCTTGTTTTTAAGAACATTAATCACCGCGGCTTATAAAGTAGTTACGTTAGGTTAACTAGTCCCCGACTAGCTACCAAGCGCCAGTGACTGAAATAGCTCACTTTCCGATCTTGCCACATAATATTATACTATACTGCTCCAAAAGGATACAACTTATGTACTGTTTATATTGGTTATTAAGAGGTATATACGTATAGTGGTTATGGGATTAGAAGTAAATATATATGTATATTATAGGTACTTCTAGGACCTAGGTATAGGTACAAAACTACCAAATACCAGTATCGGAAATACATGCTCAATTAGGTATTCTGGCTTTTGATTTAAAAATAATAGTTAACTATACCCTACAGACTGGGACGTCGAAGAGTGAACAACAAATCGCATTCACATTTTTTTATGGTTAGGTAGAAAACTTTGGGTTAACCACCGTCCACCATCAGTCCATCCAAAAACAATATCCTGTAGTATATCCTGGCATGAAGAAACGTTACAGCTAGGACGTATATTAATTATATTATAAAGATTTATGTACCTATATGAATATGTATAAAAATGTACATGTATATGAATAAAAATTAAATCAAAAGACAATAAATGATAATGCAATAATATGACGAGTAAATGTGTAATGTGTTTAATAATATTTCATGATACGAAAAATCGGCGGGCGACAAATAACGCGACTATTTTACCAAGGTAAAAGGTTTATAATATGTTTTTAAAAGCATTTAACCTACTAACATAATTTTAATATACAGTTTAATGATATACGTAAATACAAATATATAATGCATTCTAAATAAGTCGCAAAAGCGTATGAACAACTGTCTATTCCCACAAAGAACCTGTGGATAATATAGGTTTGAAGTGTCTAATCTACGCCATAGGTACCTATTGTGACGCCAACAATAATCAGCTCCATCACTCTCCGATAAGTTAAAAAGCGAATTCCGATGATTAATTATTAGCTCCGGGCACGGGAGAAGCGTCACAGGTCCTTTGTAAGAATAACATTATACAGTTTTTCAAACGCTCTTCAACCGTTGTTTTACGAATGTTCATTATTATTTTTTATACTAGACTAAACCGAGTCATTAATAATTGTCAATAGATATATGTTTTGATAGACTGCAAAAGCAAAATTGATCGTACTTACAAGAAAATTCTCACAATTAAAAATAGATTAATACATATCAAGTGACAAGTGCACGCTTTGTAACAACCCTAGTCCCCAATATTCAATCAATGAAAATGTTGAGGCTTAAGTACACGGTCCTGAATCCTCTACGGATAATTGTGTTTCTTACCCGTCAGGCCAGTTAATTATTGCTTATCAGTTATCAGCTATAAGAAGTTATAGATTTTACGATTTTAATTTATTTGTTATTCAAATATAACTATTTTGTAAAACGACATTTAATTATTCAATAAATCAAACCTTCCAAATCTGTGATTATAAATATACAGTATACACACTGGGTGATTCATCAAGCATCACTCATCATCAACTACATCACTCATCGCTAAGTGCTAACCCCCATTTTTACTCTGGTATTACCTATAATGTCCTATATAGGCTATATATTATATTAAAATGAACATGTTTAATTGTCCAGGTCCATTTATTATCTTGCATTCCTGCATAGGTTCATTCTGTTATGTAACAATCTAGGGAAAGCCTATTTTATACTTTCACAGTTTCACAAATTGAACAATGAATACGAGGGTAAATATTTTTGTCAAGAGTGCTATAGAACACTAGATAAGCTATAGTGGGACATGGAGGGGGAATTTTTCGATTATCAACCAAATTAATATACACGAAACAATGCAATACCTATAATAATACTAGTACTCATAAGTACAAATATTTTGTTGAAAATATTTAAAACAAATAATTTTTCTATTCTCATTAAGAATGCTTTGATATTATTAGGTATTTAGGTATTATTGGCAAGGTCTCTTTTTACGCATATATATATATAATATATTATCTACCAAGTAGGTACTTATAAATCTAAATTAAATTAACTCATTCTATAATGGATTTTAATAATAACTTTTGATAGTTCATCCTTGTTAACTTTTCCTCTACACTAGGTATTATACTTGTGAATCCTACACTAGGTATTATATTTGTGAATATAGGTACCAACAAAAATTGTAATGTTGAACATTTGGGAGTCCTCATTCTTAAACGGAAAATGCTAAGCACTTTAAAATTTTAGTACACAGAAGTATTTGCTGAGTTTTTAAACTTTTTAAATATTCATTCATGCAATATTAAATATAGTACTCACGTGCAGTAACGGGAGATTCGGAAGGTAAAATTGGTGGTAAAAGTTCAACACATCCAGATCCAAAAAACCTCTTATCTAATACTTGTAATAACTGCAAAGCAGTATCTCGTACAGATGATCGAGGACAACCAGTGTTCATGAGTGTAACGTTAATAATTGCCGTATAATGATCACATGGATATTCCCTAAACAAAACATTGATTTTTATTTTTTATATTATTTATTTGATATTGATGTGGTAAACTCGAAATCTATGCAGAGTAACTTCCTGGGTTTTTATTTGATTAAGTTTTACTTTAAACTTATATCAATATCCAGATTTATAAAAATAATTTTAAACAGATAATACATACAATTTAAGATTTTTTAGGGCATATGTAAGCATACATATCAATATATCATTGTTTTTTAGTTTTTAGATTTAGTTGTTTGATGCAAGGTAAAAATTCTAAAAAACTTGATTATTAAAATTCCTATTAAACATTTTTTTTTTTTTTTTTACACAATAATATATACAATTTGTACAGTTGATACACAATAAGCATATTTGATAAAGGTTACAATAATATATGAATACTTGATAAGAAGCCATAAACTAGTGGCACTTGACTGGGTGTTGTATGAATCTAACTATATTATAAATATACTTTTTTTTCTCTTCTCTCAAAACTAGTTCCCTATTAAACATTAAAATTTAATAAGTGTTGCAAAGGTAGTTCTGACATTTTTGTATTACAAAATTCAAAGATAATTTTTGGATGGTGGTAGTGGGGTACAGATGACCAGATATTAAAAAGTCTCATACATAGTTCCATACTGAGTATCAACCGTATTAATGTATCAAACATATTTATTAAAAATCTTATATTTATAAGAACAATTGTTTTTTGGCTATATTAAAAATATATAACATAATACTAAAAAATAATACTTATATCAATCATACAGTATAATATAATAATTAACATTACTGGGCTTTTTCTTTATTTTGAGAATATTTTTATTAAAATTTGACTCACCTAGTGCTGAATATCACTCCAAGTGCATGGAAGCATGCATCTGCTACAGGTGGCACAGCTGTATAACATCTATCTACGACCCAGTCTAGAAGTGCACCCATATCAGGATTACAATCCAACAGCAAAACAACTGTTTCTAAGGCTAATTGATGAACTCGTTTGTCAGGATGTGCTAGTAACACATCTATCCAAGAATATAAGGATCCATCAGGTTCAGCCAAAGTATGATTGAAACATGGCCCACATGTAAGGACTGCACAAGCTGCTTGCAAAGATGCCATTTGCAAATCATCTTTAATTAAATCTATGGCCAACAAACTTGTTGAAACAGCAGATGATGCCCAATGATCAGCCCAATTACAAAATAGAGTAAATAAATTTTGACGTAATTCTCGTTTTAATAATGTACGATATGTTTCAACTAAAAGAAAAATAATTGTTAACAATTTTGTTTGTGTGTTAAATTACAAAATATATAATCTTAAGTAATAAATAAAACAATTTAATAGAATAATACACATTTTGGGGAATTTAAAACAAATTTATAAAAACTATTTTTGTTTCAATATAAAATTTCATATGATTTTGCTAATTTGATTAAACTTAGGTGATTCTAATAATATTTTCTATTTTAAAATAGAAATTGTGAATTTTTTTGTTATAAAAAATAATAAACAAAAGGTTTTAAAGTTCAAAACGATAAAAGTAGAGCACCATTTCAAATTGTTGTGTCAATTGTTTAGGGAAAAAATAAATATTAAAAACTTATAACTAAGCCATTAATTATTTAGTATTTTTACTTCTGTATAAGTTCACAAATTGTATTGCTTGTTTTCTAAAACTGAAACTAAAATGTATAATATTTATATAGTACCTAGTACTTACATACAAGTACTATTTAGTGTTTAGATATTTAGTTACTTTAATAAGTTATATCATTATGTTTTTACTTAATATTTATTATTTTATAATTTATAGAAGTAGAATATTTAACAGATAACAAGGGGGACAGAGCTGAGTAGCCGAGCAGACTAAGGCATCGGTTGCGACGAGCACCGTGGCCAGTTCAAAACTTGGTCATGGGCAGCACTTCTCTCCGGACAGACTTCTGTCTGGAGAGAGAGGCAGCCAACCCTCGAATGATGGCAGAAACCTACAAGTGCCCATCTGAATTTCTGCCAAACAAACACGCACGTGTAAAAATAACCTACCGTTCCGACCCCTACTACATACCCCTACAAACAAGGTAATGGCTTTAGTCGCCGGGCTTGACAAAAAAAATAATAGATAACAATTATAAGAAAAAAAAACAAAACTAAAATCTTTAAATATCTTATAAGCCAATAAAATTGTATACTTACGTTCAAAACTTTTTATCATCTTCATAACAAATCTACAAAAATAAAGTTTAATTTCTCGAAGACTATCTTTTTCTGATTCCAATTCAAGACAGATTCTAGCTCCATCAACATATTCTTCGATTGTTGGGTGTAATGAACATGTATCTCTATCAAGAACAAATGAACTGAAAAAAGAAAACAATTAAATACTATTCAATATATTTTACTCAACAACTTTATCAATATACTAGATGTTACACAGTATTTACCTGCACCCAAATGTTCCATATCCTGCAATAAGTTCAAAAACTTTAACTAACTGTAAACGCAATGCATCTCTTCGTCTACGCCGTCTCATATTTTCTTGTTTTCTATCCACAGCTTCTTTTATATAAGGAATTAATTCTTCCATAAGATCTCTATTTTAAAAAAAATAATAAGTATGTATTAACTTTACAGATCCAATTACCTTTATTGTTTATTTTTTTACTTTAATGCTTCAGGATTTATTGTTCCCATTGCATATATAGCAGCATCTCGAACATCAGCTACTTCACATCTTAGTAATGGTGCAATTAATTTATACAATGCTGTTGGCGAAACACTTTTGCTATCATTTCGTTCGCCAATTGCTAAACTATCTGGTGAAGAACTTAAGCTTAAATCGGGTGAAGCACATCGTATAACTGGATTTGGAGCAAGAGGTACTACTCGCATAGCAAACATTGTATAATATCGCCACAGAGTCAAATATTGATCACGTTCAGTTAAAGGTTTCTTTGGTGGAGCTGAGCTCCTTAATAATGAGGCTCTATTATCACTAACAGGTCTATAGAAATAAAATAACAATAGATAAATACAAAAATGATAACAAAAAGTATTATAAGCTAACTTACGTGGGGTCAATAACTGTGAAAAGATTATGAACTCTAGAAAATACTAATAGCCAAGCCTGAGCAGTAACAGAAGGACATTGCTTTATAAGAACATTTTGAGACAAAATACCAAAAAGTATTGTTCCCCAAGGATCACTATTTCCAGTTCCACCCAATAAGCTTAAAGATGAAGCAGTTTTAGCAGAATTAATATCATCTTGAATTCCTAAAACATTTTATAGTTTAATTATCATTAAAAAATAACTTAAAATTTAAACATAATCACAGAATAGTAATTTACCTGCTGTCCATATAGGAGCATTACGATCAACAATCCATTGTAAATCGATTGAATTTGCTGCAGATGCAGTCATTGCAGCTAATTTTTCTGCTGAAGGCAACATAGGAAGACATCTTTCAATTAATTGAGGACAAGCCTTATCAATAACATCAATAACTGGCAGTATGTCTTTAATATTATCTAAACCAAAATAAATTAAAATATATTATAATACTTTTTAATTTTTACATTAACTATGAAGTATGAAGTATTTCTAAAAATGCTCACCTAGTATCTTCACTAAACATTTTATTTCACGGAGTATATGTGCTGATAAACGGCGGGGGCATGGTCGACAATTGCATAACATCACTAATGCCAAAGCTTCAGCTTGAGAAAAATCAACTTTTTTTGATTTTTGCTGGTTATTAGTTAAATCAACTTTTTTATTTTTTTCTGTTTGATTTTTTATCAATCCTGGTGTAATAGTATTTTTCCAACAAGTTAATAGTTGCAATAACATCCGTAAGCCATTGTCAACTAATTGTGGGAATGTGTCTTGCACATCACGTGCCAAAAATTGTGTAAAACCTTAAATGTAAATTGTAGATATTTAATATAATTTAGTAATGAATATACATTAACCACTTTATATGCTTACTAGTAATAACTTCATGACGCCATTCTGGGAAATCAATAATCAAAGTTTGAAGACTCTGATATGCTAAAGCACGGAGTTCTTCATCCATATGCACTGTTAAGCGAGACAACATATCTACTAATTCAGCACCAGTCATAGTCTCAGGTATTAAACGTGGAACAGCCGCAACACACGTTCGAAATAAATCAATACGTGGCTTTCTTTCACCAGTTATCATCTCATCAGGTTCCTAATAAAATATACAATTAATTAATCTATGAAGTTTGAAATCATGTAAACTATCTAAATTATTGTAAAACATATATTAAATAATAGAACAAAAAATTGAAAAAATATATATTCGTGAAGAAGAAAGAAAATGTTATGCCTTGTATTACTGATTAGTGATCTGTAGTTATTATTTTTAGTACTAAAGTAAATTATTCTATATTGTATCTAATACAGTATGAAATATGGTTTAAGGAATTCTGAGTTATAGTCTGTAAATCTTCACACAAATGTAAAAATAAATTCCTCATTATAGTTATTTTATTTTTGGTAGTTAAACAGATAGAAAATCAATATCTAAATTTAAAAATTCAAAAATACTTTGTTCATATTTTGTGTGCTAGTCATCATCAAAGGTCTGCCATAGTGGGTGTCCAATGCTCTTAAAATTTCAACAAACACTCGACGGACGTTTGGAAAGTAAGAATGAATACCAATGTTTCTAGCAGTATCTTCAGTTAGCATCTATATTTAAATTAAACAAATAGTTTTATTAAGTATCATTAATATTGATTGATAATAGACCTATTACCTATAGCATTATAAAATAATTGCATAATTTACAAACCTTATTCAAAAAAGTTTTTTTCACTCTGAGTGTACTACCCGATGGCAATACTCCTGATGTACCTGGCATTGGTGGTTCACCTTCTTTTTGTTCAAGACTATCTGCCACAACGAGAAAAGCTCTGAGACCAATACTCATTCGTTCTGGGGTAAGTATTAATTTAATTGGTCGTCCTACACTCAGCAAATCATATACTATTTCACGCATAGCAAAGTCTAATCGTTCCTGGAACAATAATATATAGAAATAAATAGATATATAATGGGAATAATTTATTCAAATAACTAAATTTACCTGAGCAATAAATTGTATAATTTTAACAAATATATTTAAAGGTGTATCACGTGGTACAACAGCTTTGGATCCTTTAGGGAATAATGAATGAACAATACTTTGTAAACGTGATTGAGTGGCAGAGTTACTTTCACATTTTATTCTCACCATGTATACCCATAGCAAACGATAAAGGGCCTCTGAAATTAAAAATCAAAATACCAGAATAATATTATATACAAATTAATAATTAAATATTTAAATTTGCAACTGATTTTTAAATTTTAATTACCTAGAGCAACTCTGGACATGTTTGTATCTCTATTTTTCAAATTTGATAAGCACATGGCCAAAAAGTAATGCCAATTTTGTAGGAAAAAAATCTTTTGGCTAACACACAGCAAACAAGTTACTAATGGAAACAATGATAGTCTATGTTTTGATTTAGTACACATATCTAAGGTTGTTGAATAAAGTGATTCCACAAAATTCTTCAAACAAGGAACGTTTACTTCATTTTTAACAATCTAAAATAAGAAAAATATATAATTACCTCGACTCATAAAAAGGACAAAAAAAATTGACATTAAAATAAACCTTACGCCAGCCATAGGTAATAAAATTTCAACAAATAATCCTGCCATTGAATGTTTAATATCTTTATCTTTGACTTCAAGAAAATACTGAGCACATTCTTGCATAAATTGAAAAGAAGCCTCAAAATCTTCAATAGGAACCATCTGTTAATTAGAACATAATATTACTTACATTTATAAAACAAAAACCAATATATTTATATAAAATGTAGATACCTTAATTCTAAAAAATTTCATTCCCATCAACAATGAGATAATAGCCTGTATGACATGTGGTGATGGTTCTTTAGCTCTTAGTTCCTTTAACTCAGCCATAAACCGTTTTCTAACGGATAAAAATCTTGATTGAGCCAAAACTCCTAATACTTCTGCGTACAGATCAGCCACCATGTGTATATTTGGTGCATTAGGACAGTTTTGTGCCCTATAAATCAATATTAATAATTTAATTAACACATATTTAGATTTGGTTTCAATAATACAATACTAAAAGGATAATATAAATAGTTGAGTCTCGATAACTGAAATGTCAAGGGAGATAAAAATTAATTCGACTTATGTATTTTTCGAGTTACATAACATTGCATTGAGTATATAGAAATTTAATAGGGACAAAAAAAATATGAGTTATCGAGACTCGACTGTAATTAAAAATAAATCTGAAGCCTGTTAAAACTGCAGTTACTCAAGGGAGGCTCCAGAGACATGGTTAGGAGTGGGGAAGTCATAATTTTCAGAAAATGTCAATGATTTTTTTTGTAATTTTGTTTTTAACAGTATAAAATTGTTTAGAAATACTGCAACCCCTAGAACCCCCCTACAGTTACTGAGATTTGTTTATAACCTCATTACAGTTATTCAGAAAATGTCTTCTTTAAAGAACCAATTATAGACTCAATTTTCAATTGCTAAAAGCATTGATTAAATATACAGTAGTTTTAATCAATACTAAATGTGTATAAAATGATAGGGATTTTTAACTATTTTAAAAATATTACATAGTGAAAAATACATGTCTAGAATCACTCTGAATCTAAAATATTTAATTTTAATTGTTTAAATAAGATTTATATTAATAAGTCTGAATAGTTCCATGTGTATTAGAAATTATTATGGAGCTTACATACCCTTCACGATATTTAAAATGTTTGAAGCATAAATTCTCAATATAAGTGACTAAATCTTCATGCCCTGGGTGAAATGGTAATTGTTTTAATACTTCTATTAATGCTAAGCAAAATATAAACTCCACTGCCAGATCTTTTCGCTCTCCCATTACTTCTATTTCTTTAGTGTCAATAATATCACTGAAATAAAATATATTAGGTAAGTATAGTTTTTTCTCAAATAATATCATATTTATTCAATATACAATGCATATACATGAATATGTATCACACTATAATATAAATATGTGTATAATTAAGTTATGAGGTTCAATGAATTCAATGTAAACATTCATCATACTTTTTGCCTTTAAGTTCAATTTTCTTTGAATCTGTAGCATTGATGTCTAGTATGCCAATTTGTCTATCATACCAAGCAAAAAGAGCTTTCAGTATAGAAGGCAAACAATGTTCAGCCACTGAACCAAATGCAATCAATAACTGATCAAATTGTGCATCTTCACCACGTTGCAAAATCTTCATCAATGGTTTTTCTGGCTCAATCATTACCTCCTCTATTTTTCTCTCAGCCTGTACTGTGAAGTCCGCAAACAATGTACGCATCACATACTCTCCTGGCTTGATGTCTGTGTCTACATTTGGGAACGGTGAACGCTCTTTGTGGGCTCCCCATGGTAATACTGTTATTACACTTTGCCGTTGACTTTCTGAAATATGCACTAGACATTAAATGAAATACAAAAATAATAAAAAGCACAATGAATAGCACACTTTACCAGGGGTAATAGTTCGAGTAGAATCAGTCATAGTGTTAGAATTTGATTGGGTGGTTTGAAAAGGATCAAGTTTAGGTGTAGATGTCCCAGAATCAATTTCACTTTGAAACTCAACATTAGGAAGCATGACGGTTTGATCTTTAAAATTAAAATTCACATGATCAATAAATTATTTTAAATTGCTTCAATTAAGTAAAACAATGAAAAGCAATGTAAAACAATGAATGTAAAAATTGTTAATACCACGATTAATTTGTTCCCGATTGTTTGTATCTATATTGATATCCACATTCTGTTCCTCCATCACAAATACAATAATATATTAAAGAATTCGTCTAATTTAGTAATTCAGATCATGTCTATGATTCTACCAAGATATTTCCTCCATCTGTTCATTTATAATCAAAAGTTGACGGTAAATTATTTTTTTCATTTAAAAGTTAAAACTAGGTAGTCAATGCAAAATTAAGTACTTAATGCGTTAGTCAGTACCTAGTCACTTCGATTTTCGACACATTTAGTAATTTAGTGCATGATTAATTTATTTCAGTCATGATTTAGTCCGTCATAGCCTTAGTGTACGGTCTAAGCACAGAACAATAAGTTTATTGTATAAATCCACTATTAAAGATCTGAGCAGATTAATTAGTCACGATCACGGACCAAGTAGGTCTGAACCACGGCGAAGTGCGAGGAACATAAATTATAAAATATAAAACATTAAATAGGTATAAATTGAACTGAACTCTATTAAATATATCATAAGTGATAACATATTATCATACTCGGATATCTTGGTGTTATTCAAGGTTTATAGCACGATTAAAGATAGTATGGTTGCGTGACGACATAATATGATAATGTATAGGCTGAAGCGGCCACGATAATGCTTACAGTTAATCTGACTGCTTGGTGGCGCTGTCTACTGATCAATAAATTCACAAGAATTAATATATGTGGTTTTGACTGCAATCATAGATAGCATGGCGGTAGACCACAGTGTAATTGTGTGTAAATATATTATTATATTTATTAATTTAGGTATCGTACGATCGGGATTCAGGAATTTGTTTTTTATCGTCTGTGATTTACTACAGTATTTTACACACTGACATAACATCTCGTTCTAATATACTATATAAAAAATTGTGAATTATTCTTTTAATTAAAAGTTACAACTAGGTAGCCCAAAAATGTCTTGTTGCATTCGCTCACCACATTCTGTTGCAAACACCACTTTTGAAGTACCGAAGAATGAGTTGGAAAAATATAAATGGGAGGAGGCTTTAGGCATGAAATTAAAAAAAAGCCATCGCGTATGTGCTTCTCATTTTAATGAATGCGACATAATAAGCTGTTGGAATTCTGGTTTGAATCATTATTCGGTATGTAGGTACCTACTTAAAAAGATACAGAGAACATTAAAAACAATGTAAAGCAAATCTGCAAAATTAATATACCTATTTATACCTGAAAACATAGGCGTGCGCACAGGGTATGCAGGGTATGCCGCTGCATAGTCTGCGGCTTTATGTGAGGGGCCCATATATAATATAGGTACCAAAGCATTTTTGATATCTTCTATATTATAAAAAAAAATAATAAAAATTTAGGTTTCACTTTTCTCGAGACCCGCAAGATAATCTAAACTATTAATATACTAAAGCGTAACACGTAGATATAGTTATCTATGTTGCAAGAATAGAATAGGTACCTAATTATTATTGTTTTTATAGTTTGTAATCAAAGACAATATTATTATTATAACTGAGTCCGGTACTATGTCACAAGAACGTCTTGATTCACTGATGTTAATTTTTATCAAGAAAAAAATGGCATCAGAAATCAATATTGAAGAAGTAATAGATGAATTCAAAACATGTGTGCCGATAAAAAGAAGACTTGAACTTTAGAGTTTAGATTTTAAGTAGGTACCTTCCATGAAATAACAACATTATTAATGTGTTAAAGTTATTCAAAAACATTCATACTAGTATATACTTGATCAAATTTTCTTTAAATAAATATAATTCAAATTTCAAACTACTTATTTCTACAGCGCGTTGTTTAATATTCTACTGTAAAACTATGTGTGATTTCAGATTCCGAGGGAAGCAAAAAAGCTAAGTAGTATATTATTTGCAAAAACTTAGATTGTAAATTGAATCCTATACGTGTTAAAAAAAATGTTTAACGGCTTAGAATTGTTTTTTAGAATAAATAAAAGGAAAGATTAGAATTTGTGAGGGGGCCCTATTTTCCTTATTGCATAACCTGCGAATAAAGTCTGCGCACGCCTATGCGGCTATGCCTGAAAAAACAATGAATGTTTGTCAAAATAAAATGTTTACAGGTATGTTATCAAAGGAAGCGGTTAAAGAAAGGTGCGATATGTAACTGTAAAATGTGTTGACTTTTTAATTTATTTTTTCCAATGTAAATATCAAAAAAATTAAAAAAGCTAATATCGACGTATGACAGTATGAGACAATGAATTAGTAATTACATATCTAGTGGTTATATACTTATATGTAAAAACTCGTCTTTTCTACATTTAACTACTAGATAGCAGCACTAGGCAGTCAGTTTAGACTTAAGCACTTCTATCGCCGCATTTTTGGTCGTCGTCACGCAACCATACTATCTTTAATCGTGGTTTATAGATAATATTATCTATAATATCTATTATTATCTATTATCTATAAACCTTGTATACCATGGACCCGTAACCATAGGATATTCTTGGTTTAAGATCCTTGGTTTAAACCATTTTTTACCGACAATTGTTGGCTACACTGAAATCTTTCTTCCCTTCTCTTAATGAAAACCTGTTGATCCCTAATGTGTCGACGTGTCGTACTACGATAAAGTATTGATCATAGTGCTTTCCAGACCGTGAATGACGAAAGACAAAGAAAAAACCACGAACTACGAATTTGACTCATCTCTAGAAACACAAACATCTCGACTATATTTATACAAAAGTACAAACGTTGTAAGTGCTTACTATCCGTCTTCCGCGATGAAGGCGAATGATAAACAAAGAACAGCAAACAACAAAGGTACTATACCACGATATAAGATATTGTATAATATTATGTTAAATCGGGTACTATACAATTACAAGAAGAGCCGCGACAGTTATTTAATCCCAAGCATACCTATTTTTAAAAAATTGTACATATTATGGTTTTTATACGCCCTCGTTATATCTATTTATTTTTCTACATGAATTTTCCTGATGCATGGAAAATCAGTGCTATTATTCAGTCCACATTACAGCTGTCTAATATTTCAAATTACCTACCAATGTCATTTCCATCTATTAAAGAATTATACCCAAAGTATTCAAAACTATTATTAACACAAAAGTCGTAACTGCAAATGTGATTGTTGACGATCAGCATGGTTGCCGGCTTGAAAAGAGTACAATTATGTACTAACATTCTAGTCTTTCAAAGTTTTGTAGCTTATGCGCTTTTGACTGGAGCTATACTCTGTTCAGATTAAGATTGAACCACTTGCTCGACCTAAACAGGTTTTTGTCGCGCATTCCATACCCCGGTGGGAGCGCATGCACGGCTGCCAGCACCAGCATCGACCTTAGTCGGCGATGACTGTCGGCCAATCACAGAACGCATAGCCATCGCATGGGGGGGTCAGGCACTGTTTTGCGGCTCAGTCTGCATGCGCGAAGCTGTTCAATCTTAACCTGAACTGAGTATAATGTTGACACGTTACTTATACTGATTTTGCCAAGGCTTTTGATAAAGTAAACCACCAGATATTATTTACAAAATTAGAACAAATTGAAGTCTGGATCTTTTGTAAACTGGCTAATTTCTTTTATTCAAGATCGATTTCAATTTGTTTCTTACAAATTTTATAAGTCTACCCCAATTAGTAATTAGTATTACATCTGGATTTCTGTAGCTATCCCACTGAGCTCTATATTATTCGGTATATTTATAAATCATATTAAGTTTCATAATTGCTCTAAGCCAGTGTTTGTTGATGATGTTAAAATGTTTGGTAAGTTAATCTATACATCAATTCATAATACACAATCAAAAAACCATATTTTGTTTAAGGCTACAAGCTACCAACTATGCAAATAACACTCCCTGCAAAAGAATCATGCAAACCGTTATTAAACTAGAGATTGATATGTTCAACCATTGATTATAAATACCAAATTAAATACCAGTATTTTTAATCAATGGTGTAAATCACCAATCTTACACATACAGGGCATGTTTTACAATCATAGTTTAAACCTCGGTTACGCCTAACCCACTGATTTTACCTGCTGAATTCTGTGGTTAAACCTTAGTTTATCGATTGTAATACGGGCACTTATTCAAGTTGTATTGTAATTCTTTAGTTTTTAATTCTTAATTACGCTTGTTTATGTTACATTATTATTATTGTTATTGTTGTTATTTCTGTTACTATTATTATCATGTCTATCATAATAATTGAAATTTTTTTTTTACTGTAACTACTTGATAGTTTAATACCAAATAAATAAAATACAATGCAATCATAAGTGTATAGTCCACATGATGCATATTGTACCACGGTTGTCTTTTGATAGTCAAAACAATAAAGTTTTAGAAAAAGCTCTTCGTTGTGCAAAACTAGAGCTCACCCTGGTTCAGAATATACCAAGTTTATCCTTGTACTTGTCTAAAAATCGCACATGGATAAACAGACAAGATTCTAAGTTTAAAAAAAAATTATTAATTTTTTTAGGTTTTAGAAATTGTATACATAACTAAAATAAAAGTATAAAATACATAATAAATGAAATTATTATTATGATGGATTGAAAAATAAATGTGTAAGGTATATTGTTAAGGGTGTATTTTATAATAAAAAATTTAACAATTCATTACTATTGTAACTAATATTATGTATAACGCTGGGTATAGTGATAAAAAAAAAATAAAATACAATACATTATCTACTTAAATTAAATTAAAATTATAGGTACAAACTGTTACCCATTACTTTAAATCAAATTAAAAATATTGTAATTAGCAATAATTATTATTTAAATTTTTTGTATTATTTCAGAATATTAAATTTTAATTTTAATTTTTTTTTAATATGAAATAGATTACAACCAATCAAAGAGATTGGTCTATAAAATATCATTTCTTTATTGATCATTTAAACTTATCCAACTCGGATTTTAAGAATTTTATTTTACAATTATTACCTTTTAATTCTAGAGCAATGTAATATAACCCACTGTTGTATATGATGGTATAGAACTTTTCAATTTTAAAAGGATGTAAT